AGCCTCAACATTTTTCTTCATGGCTTTCCCCCCCACAAATATGTGTTTGTTTTTCTCACCACCTTTTGTGTGAGAGCGAGGCTGGCAATAGTCTGGATTGTGCTCTCAGTTTCCAGCTCTTTCACTACCCGACACATAAACTCAACAACGATGCTCTGTGTTTTTTTTGTTTTTTTTCTTTCATCTTCTCTCATACACATGAACCTCTAAGTTCTGCTTCTGTTTTTCTCCCAGGGATCAAGAGACCAGCAGGAGGCTGAAAAATGTGAGTGTTTTTTTAAATTATTTTATATATTTTATTCATTGTCATATATTTTACAACTGGCTTATAGAATCCCATAATAGTTTGACATTATAAATATTTATTCCAATGCAAAGATAATGCCACATAGAGCTTTATTGCTCATATTTTTGGAAGGTTAGACAAAGGAGGAAGAAACTGAGAGACTCGCGTAATAATGCTTCACAGATTCACAATTTGAATGTATTGATTAGACATTTAAAGTCTTAACTCCACAGATCACAAGAATGCCATAACCTCCTACACTTAGCCTCCTTTAATGAGGGTCATGCGAGGAGATAGATAAACCTCTCCTGCACCTTATTTTATTTAGGTGCAATGCCGAAAAACAGCTTCGGCAATGCATTTGCATCTACAGAATAAATTGAGGAAAAAATGACAAATGATCACCTCATAACTTTAAAATTTTAAATTCATTAAGAATGTATACATGTTCACTAGAGGATGTTTGCCCCTTTTTATGTAAAAAAAAGTCAACACCAACAGTGATAACTTTCTGACACGAAAAACCAAAGCGCTGACATGCCACTTTAAACAGTATCATGTGTAATGGGGTATAGCTTTGTTGGTTTACTGTTTGCCTTAGCGCACCAGTCTCCTGTCCAGCATATAAATGCACAGACAAACAACAACAGAGTATTCTGGATGAGCCTGGAAATTAGAGCATGGCTCTAGGTGATGTGACCCTCATCAAAGCAGGGCTGCAACTATCATAACAATCGCCTGCTTTAGCACTGCACAGCACATTCATCTCTGACATTTGCACAGGTAAAGCTGTAGTGATAACCTGATCTATAGATATAGGTTTCTCATAAAAATAATGATATACTTATTATAGGCAGGTATAATCTCTTTTGTTTTCTCTTTCCAGGTATTGATCACCATTTACTGGTTAGGTAGAAGAGCTCAGTGTGACTGCTTCTATGATGGACCTTACTTGAACTTCAAGGCTTTTGAGGGTTTATTGGGCACAGCACTATACAAGGTAAATTCCCAGAAGTGTGTTCTCTCCATCTCATTCATGAAACACGAGCTGAATTTCCTTGTGGATAGCAGAAATGGCAGGACTAGAAATCCTCTTCTACAGCCGCTGTGTTGTTACTGTATCCTCCCTGGTATGAAGACTATGAGGCAGAAGAATGACAGCAATAGGCCGAGGGGGACGCAGTGTGCTAGCCACGAAAACCAAAGCTACGTAGAGTCATAAAAGACCCGATCCCTTGACTCAGCTATTTTAATGTTGTTTACAATATGCTGTTCGCATAGTTTTGCAAGTGAAAATAGCCACGTCTTTTCTTGAAGAAGCCTCGTTTCCGCCCCGTGCCTGTGCCAGTGTTGAATTTGGCGCTTTGCTTTCACATAGATTTATAGGTTGGTGTGCAAGACCTCTGTAATTCAACCAACTCCAACGATTTTCAGTAATAGCAGTGGGATGCAGCGTATTTTGTACGTTTAGCCACGATAATCCAAGTTCAGTGGCGCAGGGTTAGGCTGAGTTTGCTTTGCGGACTCGCATTGTCTGGTAGGTTTTGGCAGATTACAGATGTGAAAATCATTTTCTCTTTAAAGTGGTTGACAAGTTTTTGCTCGTCTGGGGCTTGCTTATGCGTTTATGTGCGATGACATTCTTTTCACGCAGTAAACACAGCCGTCGCGGGCGTGCGAATCGTGACACTGTTTATTTTGACAAAGATGGGAGAGAAGAGAAAACAGTGAAGTTATCCCATTTAAATGGCACTCCTTTATATATGGTATGGAAGCGTATGCTTATAGTAACTTTGTCTGCGAGAATGAGAGGCCAGACAAAACAGACCACTCACTCTCTACCTGGGAGATCTCACCACACACACAGTGGAGATAAATATTGTAATTGGCGCCCTATTATCTGAATGTTTTTGTGTGTGTGTGAAAGGCTCTGCAGGAATCTTCCAGTCAGAAAAGCAGCAACGTCCGAGACAGCGGTTTTGGAGACAATTGGTACTCTGAGCGAGAGGAGCTCTCCCATCTGAGAGGAGGAGGAGGAGGAGGTGGTGGTAGACACAGGAGGGACGACTCCCTGGACAGCTTGGATTCGTTGGGTTCCCGACCCCACAGCATCTCATCTGACACCACTCTTAAAGGCAGCAGCGAGGGTAGGAGACATCATTTCATTTCCATCCACATCTTGGTGACAAATTTCGTCTTTCTTTTATCTTCCTAAAACTGATTATTTGTCAGGACACAGCGTGACATTAGAGAGTGGTTCTCACGCTTTTCGCTTGTTTGTTCTCAAATTGTCTCTCTGCTTGAATATTTATAATCCAGCTCATCTGTGTAGAAACTCAAATATTTGTGAACAGGGAAGACACACTGCCTCAGAACCACAGAGTTGACACCCATTTGTGAAAACAAATGCCTATTGCCACCTAGTGGTATGCTTTTGAAAGTGAATACCAACATGTGATGGTATTGACTTAAAGAAGGGGAAACTGCTGGCTGATGATCTCAGAGCAGTTCCTCCGTGCAGAGTGGAGGTCAGTGAGACATTCCACAGCCGTCCACACCGGCCTGTAAATGAGGAGGCCTCTGTCCCCACACCCTGCACCCCTCTGTTACTCATCCAAAGTCACGCCAAAACACACAATATACTCCTCTCGCTCTTTTCTCTGTTCTCCCACTTTCTTCCCCAGTCCTTACACCTGTTTTTCCTCTTTCATGGTCCAGGTTGTTGTAGCGATACCGAGGCAGACTCTGTCTTCAAGATGACCGAGAACAAGGACAATCTCAGCTACCGCCGGTCGGCAGTCGTCGTGCCGAAAACCACCACGCAGTTTAACCAGTTCCTGCCCACTAAAGACAAAGCTTCTGGCTACGTGCCTGCTCCACTAAGGAAGAAACGGGCCGAACGTAATGAGGACAACCGGCGCAGCTGGGCCAGCAGCAGTTTCGCAGAGGATGAAAGCTCTCTCACCAGGTAGCACAACAATCCATGTACATTATTCTGTTTGAAGGTGCTCTTTCTCATCTGAGCTGTTTTTTATTCCTCTTACTTTTTGGTTATTATAACAAAAGATATCTTGACTCCATGTTCATGCTTCAAAGGCTTGAAGTTTACCCGGTAGCTCTTTGTTTCTCCTTTCTCATCGCTGTGTTGTCTATGAATGGCCGACGGTGTTGTCTCTCATTTTTGTTGTGGAATGACTGCCTCGGTGAAATAAGGGTGTCCCCTGGCTGCTACGGAGACAGTCAAGTATCCAAGAGTGCCTTCTCTGACGCGCATCTCCAGTGGGCCCGCGAGTATGAAAGTGGCAGTGACTCGGACACAGACCGACCGGACCCCGATCTCGTTCTGGATGACCTGGCCAGTAGGCGCTTCCACAGCCCCTCCCCTGCTCCTCCCACCAACTTCGCCGTACCCATCAGTCCTCAGGTTGGGGGACGGGTGGCTGGAGGCAGGGGGGACACCTTGCCCAAGGTCACTATAACTCCCACTGTTGTCCCTCAACAAAACGTGGCCTGCCTCAGGTCAGAGAACATGAAGCAACGGCGTGACTTTGATGTGCCTGCTTGATAAAAGCAAACAAGAATGCTTTTCTTACCCTCAGTTTGCATGGTTAGTTGTAACCATGAGCAGTGGCTTTTGGTCATAGTGTGCTGCCTCTAACAATTTTGCAGTCTTCAGTTTGGTGCTTTTGTTCAAAGAGCTTTGTGTTTTTAAAGATTTAGCATGCCCTCATTTGCTTCTTTTCAGCTTGGAGGAGTGATTTGAGTTGGCAGGACAACTCCACAAATAAATTTTTACCTCCCAGCTTGACATTGAGCTTGCATTGGTTTGGTATTCCTTGCGTCATTTCTTTTGCGGTTGTTGTGATGGACAAATATACTCCTCTTTTTTTTTTGGTGTGACCTGTGTGCCAAAAAATAAGGTTTTGACACTTGTGGTTGGCTGTCTCTCTTGAGCAGCAGCGGCATCAGCAGAGGGGAAATGCAACCCTCCCGGCACGGTTCAGTGAGGGTGGACCACCGCCGAGGCGTGTCCACTGACAGCCTGTTCAGGGAGATATATGACGACTCTGAGGATGAGGATGATGAGGTGGGCTATGCTGACCCTGTCCAAGATGATCTCTATGCCCGTAAGATGGGTATCAAACCTCTGCCTACAAGCAGTGTATCTTATGACAAGTTCTTACCCAAATTCTGGACACCAGAAGAAGACATTCACATTCAGAAGATCAAACTGGGCTCTCAGAGGAGACCCTGGTACAAGAAGATACAAGGCTTCAGGTGTGTGAGGGCATACATTTATACTCATATATACACAATCCTTTCTTTCTTCCTATCTATAGCTTGATTTTGCTGACCTTAAATAACTGCATGCCAATCAAACCTTTCCGATTAGAAATCTGTGATTCTGTGGTTCACTGTTTTCCAGATTCCAGCCTTTTCCTTTAACTTTTCCTACCGTTGTTTCTTATCTAATTTCATCCACCTTTTGTCTTCCTCTGTCCTTTCTTCTTTCGTCGGCTGTAGCCATAAGAAGTCAGGCTCTTCGTCAGAGGACTCGGACTGTGACATCAGCCCCTGGCTCTCCTCCGCCCCCTCTCCCTCTGGCCCATCTCCCTCTCATACCCGCACACACGAGGCTTCAGCTCACACCACCCTTGTTGTGGGGAAAAGGTCGATACAGCTGCATGATTGTGATGATGCTGGAATATTTTAAAGCATCCAGATTTTTATAAGCAAATATAACTGACTCCTGTTGGGGCTCTGTTTCTGACGAGCTCCTGTAAAATAATACTAATGATAAAATGTATCCTCAGGCGACGGGAGCAGCCCTAACATGCTTTATAATGTAGTTTGCTTCCTTTGACCTTAGTGGAAATAGGCTGTGTCAATATTAATCTATTTATATTACAGCCTATTCAAGCCTAGACTTTTTCCTTTTTCTTTTTTCCTTTTTTTTAATGTAGAAAGCAGCATTGCTGTTTGATTTCCTAACAGCGTGATTGTAAAATCCACATTTGATCAACTTCTGTTTGAATCAAATGTCACCACTGTGGCCGCTTGTTGTATCTTTTCCTCCTTTTCTTGCTCTTTGATCCAGTTCACACGCATGCACTCACCACCTCTCTGTCCTTTTCTCTCCTTCTGCCTACTCTGCAGTCCTCATGTTCAACCACACACTCCTCCACAGCTTCCCAAGTCCCCTCTCTTAGAGACCCCCCCACTGGTGTTTGCCCCTGTGGACCCCACCTCAGGTCCCAGACTGGTGAAAGGGGAGAAGTGGATGCTCCTGGGGCGCCAAGACCCCCGGGAGCCCCCGGACCCCATTGATTATGAAAGTATTTGCCCAGACTTGGAGAATGATGACATGTTTGCCAGGCGAACCCTTGCCTTCCAGTCCAACACAAACTTGGCTAAACTGAAGACTCTGCTGACTTGCAGACATCGCCGCTGCACCTCTGAGCCGCAGCTCAACATTGTCACCCAGAAACCCGTTCGTGGAGGCGCAGAGGAAACTGAGTTCCCAGACATTGAGCAGGACGATGTGGTGTTTCGTAGGGAGAAAACCCAGCAGGCACAGCAACAGCGACCACTCTCAGGAGCACCTGACAACTATGCCCCGATGCCCATCCCAGAGCCTTGGGCACTGCCTCCTGACCTCAAGTCCAGACTCCTCTGCCCCCCATGTCCCCTGACTCATAAAGCAGCAATACCGAACCTGAATGAAGTTGATAAGGAGGCCCGCCCTGAAACGGATGACATGCTAATTCGAAAGTTCAGAATCTGTTCTGATCAGAGCCAGAGCTCTGCTTCATCAGCCAGTCAGAAAACCCCTTCAGTGCCTTCTTCCTGTAGCAAAGAGGACCTGCAAAAATGGCAGGCAATCAGGGAAGCTAGTCAGTTAAGACATAAGAAAAGGCTTTTGGTGGAAAGGCTAGCTGCTCTGAAGCTGTAAAGGAAAAAAAAGATTGACGTAAGAGTGGCTGTAAACTTTTTTCCTGCATGTTTGTCTTGTTGTTTCTGTGCCATTTCAGACTTTCAGTAATTTTTGTTTGATACTGAATTGTTCTGTTCTGGCTAAGATTTGATTTAAAGTCCTTCACAGTCAGCGAGGCGAGTTTTACACAGTTAAATGCTTGTTTCTGAAAACTATTTGCTGCCTTCTACGTTCACTTGATCAGACATGGGTATTTCAAAGTAAGAGTGAAGAAAATGTGGTGAAATTAACCACAACAGCAGCTTAGAACTCGTTCTAAATGTTTGTTGTTCCCTCAGAGTTGAGTGCTTGATGTGGTCAATTTTACTTCTCAAACTCATGGCGTGTAAAGACTGAGACATTACCTACACAATAAACCAACCAAGATTGTGTATTTTGAGTTGTGATGTATGGATTTTTTAAAAAAACCATAATGATTTGGTGTATCATTTGCAAAACAGCCCTGAAAAGAAATCTGCCTTTCATCTTTTCTTATCTGACAGTTTACCTACATATGGAAATTAAAACATTTATGCTTAATAAAAGGAAAAAGCAACTTGTGAGTAACTGCGCTGATTCTTTTTTTAAACCCGTGAGTATAAAAGTGCAATATGGGAATTTAAAGTCTAACCTGACCTGAGCATAATGTTGCTTTTACTCAGCACAAAGAACTTTATACAGGTCCGTGAAACTCAGAGAGCAGCAGAAAGGGTGGAAAGGTTGAATGCTGAGAAGTATCCAAACATAACATCCCCAACACTCTGACTGCACAAATCCAACAAATTAAATATAGTCGTGTCTGTTGTGCCAACAAGAAGCACTATAGAAATTCCTCACAGCTCTGAAAGACGATGTGACTCATGCCCATAGTAACTTGAACACAAATCTTCACTGTACTGTTTGCACATGAGCGGACACACAAAAGCACACACACAGCAACCGTTTAACCTGAATTAAGCCCATTTGGATGGATGGATTTGGGGTCTGCAGAAAGCAGCCTTCTTTAGGGAAAGGTACACGTCTACACGCTTCCTCAGCCTAGTGTAACTCTAATCCTCTTGATATTAACAACAAAAACAAGCAGAGTCATGTCCTAGCTGGCCCTCTATACATTTGAAGCCCTCTTAGCTGTGAACGAGCTGGTGTGTAATAGCTTCTAATTGGTCTCAAGCTCTTGACCAAAGCGCTCACTGACTCACTGTCAAACGGTAGAAATGTGACTTTGTTGTCTGTGGCTTTTTTTCTGGTTTCCTAGAGAGCGCCAAGAGGGTACAGACGGGTGAGTTTCTAAAAACAAAACAAAAAAAAGTAGCACGTTTGCATTTGCTCTGCCCTCTTATGGTCGCACGCTGCTGCCTCCAGCTTTTTATGCTGCTGTTCTCACTGCTAAACGCTGACACACAACATTGACTGTTTCACGGCTCAGAGCCAAGTTCAGGGGGAGGTGGGGGGAGGTGGGCTTTGCTCCACAAAGCTCTTTTGACACAGCTTACATATAATAGTAGTTGGTCCATGCCTAAACTACAGTGTGTCCCAGTGAGAGTTATAGCAATGTGAGACACACTGTATGTAAAACTTTACAGGTAGGTGAAGTTATTTAAGTTATTTCTCCATAAAGTGGGGCTTTAAAGACGTTTTTCTTTTGCATGATGGGACTGTTACTAACCTGAGCTTATATCACCCTCAGGGTTTGGTGGTCAGCTGGTGTGCTATATTTGAATACTAACAAGTTACTGCAGATGCCAAAAATATTAATGGCAGGTACCCAGTGGAACTGCAGTGTCTTCGTTATGTGTTTGTATCTACAGCTTATTTAACAGGATGGAAATACACAGGACTGTGCATGCATATCTGGAGTGGATTTCCACCTGTCAGCTAAACTTCTGATGCCTTTTGATCTTTGAAAAAAAAAAAAGTCTGCTTGATCTGCTTTTTCCCCCCGCAGGAGTAAATCCACAAGTGATGTGCACGTCGACCCTGCGGTCATCCGGCAGGTTCGCTACGAAGAGCTGCAGAAGTATCGTGAGAAGGTTAAACAGAGCGAGGATAAGTGGCAGGATGTGAGTACAATGTGCACTGATATTTGAGGATATATATCTGTCAGCTGCCCACTTTTCTTGTTATATGATTCAAGACATGCCTGCTTGGGCAGAAAGAAGTTTGGTTGCAGCGCAGATGAGGCAAAAGATGAGCCACACAGATCTGTGAGATCCATGTGTGCTACTAGGCAAACAGGGGAGCAGGTGCTTTGGTGTGTTGGATAGCTGCAGGGTGGAAAAAAGAACAGTTTGGATTGAAATTGTAGGTGTTCAGATGTTAACTAGAGCAGCACTGCCCTCTGGCTATGGACCTGCATCATTAAAAATTGTTGCGAGAATCACTACATGCACGAAAAAAGTAGAAATAATGTGAAATGAAGGAATGATGTAAGGAAGACTTAGTCGATTAACTCTGAAATTAACTCTCAAGTTAGAGTGAAAATGGAAAGTAAGCTCCAAATGGCAGTGCTGCAGTAAATTTAAACACTGCTGATCCATTGTGCATGTTCATTCTTAGCAATAAAAAGTTAATAGTAATAAAAAGTTCTGCACATATACACTACAGGACTGGGCTAGTGTGGTGTCATAGCAAAATAATGGAGTCTTAAAGCAGCATTTGGGTCACACAGCCCCCAATACACAGGGGAAGTGAGCCGGGAGGAGCCTAAAGCACACAAATAGAACACCTTCAAATGGAGCCCTTTCTCTTTTTTCACATCTTTTTCTCCCTCCTTCTCAACTTCACTGTCCTCAGTTGTACACTTAGCTCTGCGCACATAATCAGTCTGCTTTATCTGCAGTACTTATAAATTGACTTTTTGAGATATGTTGCATGAGGTGATGAGGGCTTCTTCTTTGCACTGCAGGCCCTGAGCGACTGGAAGAGCCGACGTCGCAGTGTCAACTCTGATATAGTAAAGAAGAAGGAGGAAAGGGAGAAGATAGAGCAGATTACTTACGGCGGTGAGAAAAGGTCTAAGACCTTCAAGGAGATGCAAGAGGAGAGGTGAGGAAAAACACACAGGTCCAACAGACTTACTGCTGTAGTTGTTTTTCTACTTTTAATTTCTGGTGATTCTGGTTTTCCTAAAAAAGGAACACTCACTACATTTATTCCTCTTTTATACCCTTTCACCATCAGAGGGGAACCATTTGCTAAGGTAACCACATGAAAAAGTGTGTGTAATTAAGAGAGACTATATGATTATTTGGGCAAGAGTGAATGAGGAGACCGTAATTGTGCACCGATTCACTGTGAAAGTGTTATTCAATCATGGCTTAGAACGTGCTGGTCATTTTATTTGAGTGCACGTCGTTCTTGCCCTCTTATTTTCTGCCCGTGCTCCGCTTTCTGCCGTCCTCGTTAACACTCCATGCCCCCACATTCATCGTTAATTTTATTCATCTAGTCCAATTTGTACCTATTTGCCTCTCATGTCCTCCCACCTTCTCTTCGTCTGTTCGCTCCACAGAGAAGGTAAAAGAAAGAGCAGCGTTGGCAGCCGTCTTGGATCTCTCTCTTTTTTCGACGACGACGACGACAACGTATTTGAAAAACCCGTCATTGCCCCACGTACCCGAGCTCTTCCTAGCCGAAGCTACACAATTGACACTTCCCAATTTTCCTATGAACCCCCCAAGCCCTCTGTGAATGACAAAGAACCTCCCATCGCTTCCCCTCCCACTTCACTTGAAGTAGTGGACAGTCCCGCACTAAGCAGCTCCATCACGAACACCATCACTCCGAACAATTACAGCTCATTCAACCGCTCCCCGTCTCCAGAAGCTGTACCTTTGCAGAGGAGTACAGACTCAGAGCGCACCAGCACAGCCAGGAAGCAGGAGGCCCCAACTGTTGTCTCCACTTCTAGCTCCCTACCAAAGGTGCCTGAGCCAAGCCCCGCATTGTCTGGCACACAGACTGAGGTGAAGCCCCCCTCTTCTGGTCCTTTGCACACACAAGCACAGCCCAGCTCAATGGAACCCAAGCCTCCCGCGGTGTCTCGGGTTTCTTCCTCCCTGCCCAAGACCTACCAGAGATCGGATAGCGCACGTCTAACTTCAGTTGTCACACCAAGGCCCTTTGGGAGCCAGCCCTCACGCATCACCTCTCTTCCCCGAGGCTTTACCGTGAGTACTAGATAGTTTTACAAGTAAACTACCAGCACAGCACAAGAACATCAAGAGGGCAGGATGTGTTTGTTTGGAAGTAAGAAATGTTTGGCAGGTAATTTGTTTTCACTACATCAGTATTGCCCAGGAGTCATATCTGATTACAGTGTGAATAATGGATGAAGCTGGTGGTTTTATTATGCTAACTCCACTACCAGAGCTGCTATTTTCAGACTATTTCACATTCATTACTTGTTACTCGTCAGGAAACTGTTTAACACATGTTTTAAAAAATAGCTGGTAACATAATTACCAGCTTTTTTTAGGGTTAATTCTATCATTTTGTAATCAGCAGCCCTTTGCTGTTAAAGTGACTTTGTTGTAATTGAGCCTTAACAGCTGTGTTCTTTGCCACTCTACATGCAGCCCGCACAGACAGACGACTCACACAAGCGCGTCAATGGCAACGTCGATGTTTCTAAGAAGTCATCAGTGCCGAGCCGGTACCATCAGTTCATGACCTCTGAGGACGAAGCTCAGTCTAGCTCAGCACACAGCAGTGAAGAGGAGGAGGAAGAGGCGACTACAGGGAATAACGTCAACTCTGCTCACAGCGTCACACCTGTACCTCCACAGGTCAAGAGTGAACCTCCTGCTCCAGCCAAAGAAACCAGCCAGGTACTCAAATCTCCTCCTGCTGACAAAGCAGTAAAGCTTTTTTTGTTTTCTATTGATTACAATGAAGACGTTCAAAACTGAACACATTTCTTTTAGGGAATTTTTTTAATTTTCACAGTGTTATTAGTGTATCTTTAGCTTTGTGGTAAGTAGTCAGTAAAACTTAATGCATGAGCTCATTAAATTTCAGTTTAAGGTTTTTTTTGTGTAGTAGCTAAAGTATAGTAACAGGTTGGCATTTATTCAACAGCCATAAATGACTAATGAAAGGCTTCCCTGCCAAAGCAGGCCAACCCTGACAAGCATCTCCAGAGCAAATGGAAGTCAGCCCACATTTGTACTCTTAAAGCTCACCTCTACTCACCTGTGTCGTCTGGTTTCTAGGAGAACTACTGTGAGATGCGGATCAGCCTGAACCAGAAGCCCAACAGCAGCAGAGATTTTGGTTTCCAGGCAGCCTGGGATTCAACAGGAGCTTGTGTCACATCTATCCAGCCAGGTAGCACTTCACAGGAATACTTATACATAAGTAGAACTTTTTTTGTTTTTTTTCCACCATCCAACA